TAGTATCACAATGAATGAAGAAAAGATTGAAGTGGTCAGGGATTTCATTTTATTTGGCTCCACAATCAATACCCATGGAAGCAGCAGTCAAGAAATCAGACATATTGCACTGGGCAAATCTGCTGCAAAAAACCTCTTGAAAGTGTTAAGAAGCAAAGATGTCACTCTGAAAACTAAGGTGCGCCTGCCTCAAGCCATGGTATTTTCAATCACCTCATATGCATATGAAAGCCGGAGAATGAATAAGGAAGACCAAAGAATAGTTGATGCCTTTGAATTATGGTGTTGGCGAAGAATACTGAAAATACCACGGACTGCCAGAAGAACTAGCAAATCTGTCCTGGAGAAAGTGCAGCCAGAATGCTCCTTGGAAGCAAGAATGAGACTTCGTCTCACCTACTTTGGTCATGTCAGAAGGGACCATTTCCTGGAAAATGACATCATGCTGGGTTATTTGCTCCTTAAAATGGAGGGTCAGTGAAAAGGGAGAAGACCCTCAATGAGATGGATTGACACAGTGGCTGCAATGGTGGGCTCAGGTATAGCAAGAATTGGGAGGCTGGCACAGGACCAGGCAGTATTTTGTTCTGCTGCACACAGGGTCACTATGAGTCAGAGCCAACTCGATGGCACCTAACAACAATGCCACTTTACAGTCCTGCAGCCACCATTTATCACATCACTGTTATATCCTTATTTCTAACACTATGTGAAGCCATTTTGCTTATTAATTTGTCCATTTGTTTATTATCTGTCTCCTCCACTAGACGTCAGGATGACCAAGCGGTCTAAGGCACCGCATTCAGGTTGCAGTCCCCCTTGAGGCATGGGTTTGAATCCCACTCCTGACAAGACAACCTTTAAGGGGCTCTATGGCTATGTGGTTAAAGCATTGGGTTGCTAACCAAAAGGTTGCCAGTTTGAACCCATCAGCTGCTCTGTGGAGGAAAGAATGAAGCAATCTGCTTCCGTAAAGACTGACAGCCTTGGAAAACCTATGGGAGCACTTCTACTCTGCCCTGTAGGGTTGCTGAGTCGGAATTGACTTGATAGCAGTGGGTTTGGTTTTTGGTTTTCCACTACACTGTCCATCACCCATCTGGCGGTTTGTCATACTGTTGCAGTTGGCATATTGCTTTGATGCTGGAAGCTATGCATTCATATTTCAAATACCAGCAGAGTCACCCAAATACCAGTAGAGTCAGTTACTCAAATACCAGCAGAGTCACCCACGGTGGACAAGTTTCAGCAGAGGTGCCCAACTAAGACCAGGAGGAAAGGCTCAGAGGTCTACTTCCAAAAATCAGCCAATGAAAACCTTACGGATCACAACAGAGTATTGTCTGACATAGTGCTGGAAAATGAGCCTGCTAGATAGCAATAACGGTGGCACAAGAGGAAAAACGTCACCAATGTCCCTGAGCTGTAAATGTGGAAGTTGTTATGTTGGTGGATGTCTTGTTGTGTATGTTTTCACCACAGTGAAATTTAAAAAAAGAAGAAAAGAAAAGAAAATGACCTTCTAGGTTGAAAGGCACTCAAAGCACGCAGTGGCTACAATGGACTTGAGCACACCAATGACCATGAAGTTGGGGCGGAGCAGGCAATTATTCATCCTGCTGTACAAGGGATTGCCATGAGCCAGAGTCAACTGAACGGCAGCTAACAACACCTACTGGACGGTAAGCCCCCCATAGGCAGGGACCACACCGGTCCTGTCTGTGTTCCATCTTGGGCGGCTAACTCAGTGCTTGACATGCTGAGGATGCTGAAATAAATGTGTGCTGAGTGAAGTAATGAGTCGGGTGGACTGCCATGGTTGTTCCATTTTACAAATGAGAAGGCTGAGGCTGAGGGAGGCGACCTGACTTAGAGCAGGAGGAGGACATATGAATTGAGCACCTCCTCTGTGTACTGGCCAGTGTTGGGTGCTTTGCTGATGTGATCTCAGCTCATCCCCCAACAGCTTGTTTATGGAGATGGGAGCTCAGGGCTGCAGGTGTCTCACCTGTGGTCACTTAGCTGGTAAGAGATGAAGCCTGGACTCAAACGCTGGTGAAGTGGACATCTGACAACAGTACCTTGATCTGCCTCTAGGGCACCACCCTTCCCACTTCCCCTCCCTTATCTATGATCAGGCTCATCCCACCCATCTCTTATTTAGAGATGGACATATGACTCAGCCCAGCCAATTAGTAAATGCTATTCCTGGGCTACAGTGATTGGCTCTGGACTGGGCATGTGACTCAAGCTGGTCCAATGAGAAACCCACCTGGACATTGTGCAGATTTATTGGTGAAATGAAAGCCTCCTCCTTCTAAGGTTGCTGGGATTACAGAGAACTGTACCTTCTAACTGAGAGGAGAAACCAAGCGAAGAAAGCCAGAGAGGAGGTGGAAATAACTGATCCCAATAGACTTGGACTTCTCGTTACATGGACTGAAATTCCTTCTCTTGTTTAAGGCTGATTTGAGTTTCTGTCACTTGCCACCATGAGATTCCTGGCAGATGAAGTTATCCTGGTGGCTGTAGACTGAGGTTGTTTATCTACACTATGCCAAATTTGACGAACTCCTGTCCATCAGAATAATTCCAGACCCTGTAGCCAAGGAACCAAACCCACTAAGCCCCAGATCTGAGCTAGAAGGAAAACACCTAAGCAAGTTGGATTTTGCTGGCAATGGAATGGTTTCATTGAACGCGCGCCTCTCTGTCACTGGGGGGAAATGTTTAGGGAGGAGACAGCCTCTGGCCTTGTTCGAGAGTTAGACGCTGCTGCTCAGCCTCACCACACCAGGTGGGTGAGTAGAATTAAGGAAGCATCCCGATGACACAGCCTCGCAGCTCTCCCATCTGCTGGACGTGGACCTCAAGGCTTTCTGAGCACCTGTGTCCTCCTGAGCCCTCAACCACTGCACCACCAGGGATCCTTAACCAGGCACTTTGTGAAGTCAACTCTTTCAACCACTTAATTCATGGGGTCCTGGCCACACCCCTCATGGTTCTGACATCTTGTTTTGATTGACGTGGAAACTGAGGCTTGGGGATGTTACGATATCTATCCCAGGACCACAGAGAGTCCTGGTGAGGGTCTGAGCTGGGATCTGACTCACTC